TTTTTTTTTTTTTGCTTTCAGGGCAACTGGATAATCAAAAGATTTAACATGCATCGTGCAGGTGTTACTCAGGTCAGTTCAGTGTGCCGAGTTCTATTTTCATATATTTTAAGGTGGCAGAATACAATTTTCGTGTGTGCTATTGCTAATGTGATTCAGAACGTGCACAAGGATTACAAAAAAACCATCATGGTGTCGATACATCGATCATATTATTTGATCAATGCCTGCGCTAACTGTGCTATTTTTCTTCATAATTGAACACAGTGTATTGATGGTTTTAGTCTTTTATTAGAAATATATGTTAGAAAAGGTAACGATGCAAAGAACTTAGCAATTCTCAGATTTTTCTTTGTTGCTGAAATAGCCCAGTTAAATGCAGCGCATACGTAGTAAGTAATTGAAGTGCGATTGAATGTGGAATAGCTTTCTCGGAAGTACGGAAATTCGCCTATTTCTCGAGAACTTCTCGTTAGATTTTCACGAAATTTGGCACCTTAGGAAATAAGTTACCGGAGTATTGAAAAAAAAAACCCTGAAATTTAACACAGGAAATTGTAGATATTTCCAGTTATTCCTCAATAAGGGATAATTAAAAATCCATTTGTTAAACTATTATTGAAATAGTGTTAACTTGTGAGCATCGTTACAAGCTTGCTGCATGCAAATGATAAAGAAAATGTAATGGCTAGATTTTCTGCAAATAAGCAAAAGCGATTTTAAAGCTCTGTTTATATTTATTCATGTTGCCATGGCAATGGCACATACGTGTTGTTAAGTTGCGTGTTGTCATTTTTGGCGACTAATGGAACAAAAATTTTAGAAAAAAGGTGAATGAAACACAGGTCTCAAAAACTCTGTTCGGCCACCTTAAAGAGCAATAATCTCACCAGCCACTACAACTCGTAATTTGCTATCTCAATTTACGAGTTTAAAATGGCTTTGTTGCTAACTCCACGCTGGAAAGTGATCTGCTTGAGCAAAACTACAATAAGATAAATTTAGATAGAGTATATTATATATTTTATCTGGGCGCGCTCTTTGACCCGTTCTCCCCCGAAAAAAGAAAACAAATTATTGACAAGTTTGAGTGTGTATCTAAGGAACATGCGCTAAAAAAGCATTTCAGCTATATTTTGTTATAGGGACATTGAGATGTGCACCTTGGTGGCAATTCGTAAGTTTCATCCTGACCAAGATCTTCATTGAATCGGTAGACTTTGTAAAACCGTGTTTTTTTGCAGGTACTGTCACGTCTTTCATTTATTTCTGCCCTTGGAATGATGACAAGGATCAGCAGTCAGGTGAGCGGCAGTGTAAACTCAGAATGACCTTCATGTACAACAAAATACTTCATTACAGATGAGTTTTATTCAATTATTTTTTCACTACTCACAGTTTGAAAAGACACGTAAAGTTAGTGGTCCTCGCTCACTGCAGCCATCTCAGTGGGGAATGTTGTGTCCGTCAGACACGCCTGAAGGAGAGGTGAGTCTTGAATACAAAAACACAGAATACAGTGGAATCCCGAGGTTTTCTGAACCCTCGATTTTTCGAACCTCCCGATAACTCGAACTAAAGTCGTTTTCCTCCCCTCAGTAGCACTTTAATTTTACCTCTCAGTCTGGTTTCTCGAACTACCTGATTTTTCAAACCAATGTTTGTTTTCTTGGAGGTTCGAAAAGTCGGCATTCGACTGCAGTTCAACTTCCCAAAGGCCTAAAAATCACAGACCTGAATATGTTAAATTACTACTTAAAGGAACAGCAGCAATTGTGTTTTTTTTTTTCGTGCCATAGGGACACGTATTAGATTTATTATCAACAAGGCGAAGTTAGTGCAGAGGGGAAATAACTAACATCAACCAATCGAATTGTTCCATTGCTGATTCAATATTTTTTCAAGTGTTGGATCGGGCGCTGTCTCGAATGATCCCGCGCGCCCACTCTTGGAGATTTTCTGTGACTTTTATGACTTACTTCTCTGAGAAGTACCTTGTAAGTTACAACTTTGTTGTTCGTCTTTTTCTGATAACGTCAGACTTGAATATGAGCTAAGATAGCTCTCAATCTGAGTTGTACACTTAAAGTTTACCTTGTCTTTCCAGCCCATAATTATGGGCTACACACTGACCAAGCTTGCTTGGGACCGTACTTAGAGATTATCGGCCCTTGGTGTTTTTTGCTCAGAAGTTGTCGAGCTGGGTTGTTGCTGTCATAGACATCAGGCCGGAATTATCACAGTACGACCCTCCCGCTTGGGTGATATGTAACTTATAAACTGTCTAGTGATGAGTTAAGCTTTATTCATTTTGTCACTCTGCCTGCCATCAATGTTGATCAATTCTGGTATTATGTTTGTCGGTTGATGTGTAGGCTTGTGGGTTAGTGAAAAACCTTGCACTGATGACACATATCACCACGGACCAGGATGAAGAACCTATCATTCGTCTGGCTTATAACCTAGGAGTTGAGGTTTGTCACTTGGTAGTACGGTAACAGTCAAATCCTGTTTATAGACACACCCAATGGAGCACAAAAAGTATCTCCAGTGACGAGGCATGTATATTACGTGGCTTAAAAAGTAGGTCAGATTGTTTAAACCAGGCTTCCAGTGTACTTAAATTTGAAAGTGAAACTACAGAGTTATTCTAACGTTAAGTACATTATTCATCCACTTAACAAATAAATTCCATGTTGCCGTGCATCTGTTCAGTAAAAGATCACAGAAGACGTCAAAATTTGGAAAGAACAAAAACGTGCCACACGAGGCGATAGTCACATTTTGCAAGAGTGATTGTGATTGTTTGAAATTCCAGAATTTGAGTATGCTGTCTGGAGAGGAGATAAGCCATCCCTCAGTGTATCTAGTTTTTCTGAATGGTGAGTTATATTTTCTCTTTGAAGTAAATTGTTAAACTTTTCTTTCACTAGTCATCAAAGACTTCCAATTTTTATTTAAATTAAAATGTGAATTATTTTCTTATGAACAGCATTTTCAATAGACCAATTTCGATATATTAAAATTCAGCCTAACACAATAGACCTCAGCACGAGGCTCTGGGGAATAACAACAGAGTTTGTGGGGTTTATTCCCCGGAGCCTCGTTCGGAGGTCTATTGTTTAAGGCTGAATTTTAATATATCGAAATTGGTTTATTGCCTTTTTGTCAAAACAAATCTTATGATATATTCATTCATTTCAAATACAAAAGGAAGGGTAATCATCATTGGAAGAACAAGAATAATATTAAATTTTAAATGTTGTAAAAAGATAAAATGTATTAATACTAGCCGTGAAAAATAACCAATAAGATCTCCCTTCTACTGACAGGAAACATTCTTGGTGTTGTTAAGAGTTACAAGCGACTAGTTGACACTTTCCGACTTATGAGAAGAGGTGAGGTTATATTTTCAGTCTAACTATTGCATGAAGGACATATGTTAGTGAACTTGTGTGAGGTAACTGACGTGTGGTAACTAGGGTAAGGAAACTGGCGTGACGTTCGTATTGAGGAAATATTGGTTGAATTCTTTGTTTTTCAAGTGTTGCCACTGAGGCCCCTTACACACGCATCCGGATATTTTGGAATCCGCAACTTTCTCTTTCTGGATACGGCTTCCGTCCACACGAATCCAGCGAATTAGGCAGCGAATCCAGATATTTTTTAATCCGCTCTCCAGAGTGGCAAAAAATAAATCCACAACGATTCCGATAACGTGTGGGCGGTGAATCCCGATATTTTCGAATCCGATGACGTAGCAAAATCGTGTCCAGTCTCTTACCGAACAATAAACTAATATGGCGGCACAAGGTGTAGGCCTAGTTTCTCTAGAGTGAGGATGCGTGTGGACAGGCGAATTCGATTCCAATACGTTACGCGTGGAAGGGAAATTTCTGAATCCGGAAAGAAAAAGTTGCGGATTCAAAAATATCCAGATGCGTGTGGACGGGGCCTAAGCTACAGGTGGGGTCCGTAAACATGCGAAAAAAGACGAGATTAATATTTCCCAACACAGAACGAACAAGCTAGTTCAGTAAAGTATACATTACAATGGCTCTTAAAAATCTCTGTTGATAAATTGATACGTCCCCACGATCCACTCTCGGTAAAAGAGACCGCCAAAGTTAAGCATTGATTTCGTTGTTTAGGTCACCTTGAAAGGTAATAGTTGACATTTTCTTCATAACAGGAAAGAAAAAAGATAACTCTTAACAACAAGCTCTTTTTGTGCGGTTCTTTGAAAAATCAATCCACCGAAAGAAATTTGTGAGCATTCCGTCTTACTCTCACAGTGCCTCTCTCCGCCTAGCAGGTGTATGAATGGGTGCCGGCGGATTGTTGGGGCAGCTCGACAGACTGCTGGGAAGTGACCTGTGATAGACTAGGATCCCACCTAGGCGGATTAAAAATACTTCATATACTTTATGCTATAGAAAACAGGCTCAATCTCAAGTGCAGCTTGAGCCTTCGTTTAGCTTTTCGTTCAAATAATGTAATTTGTTTTGTTGTTTTTCAGCTGGCTACATAAATGAGTTTGTTTCAATTTGTCCAAATCATCAGCACAGGTATTAGTGGTTCATATGACTTTCGTGTGCTAGTAATTTGTATTGTTTCCAAAGTTAGAACTTTCCACAAAATAATGACGCTGATTTTGTGTTGCAGATTTGTCAACATTGCATCTGATGGAGGACGCGTCTGCAGGTAATTTAATGACTGATGAAGTATCATGTAACAGAGGAGTGGCCGTTT